TCTATCTGAGTAAATGTAAACAAACTGCTAATTTGCATATTGCAAGTCAAAAAATCGTGATATTTGATCGCTCCTATCGCACTACCAGTGTAAAAACCCAGAAATATTTTTCTACCTCGGTTTATATTGATATTTCAACCTCATTCAGGGTGAGTTTGGTAAAAATTGGAGAATGGCCACATGGAGAAAAATGTGTTCGGAAATTTCAACTCAAATCAAGGTTTGAAAACCGGCCAAGCAAAAGTCATTTTTTCTCCCCGTTAATAATACATTGAAAAGCCAAATCCGATTCCGGGCAACTCCTTAGGAGATATTCTTTCGGATTATGTAAAAACATTGCGCAAAAATATTTAAATTGATTGAAGAAATAACTTTTAAAAAGTTGCAAGTTTTAGCGGTCTCATATGCTAATTTTAGACCAAATCGGGGTAAAACCAATTTTGCTCAAAAACTCAAATTTCTCAACGTAGATCAAAAAACCGATTAGACCACGTTAGTAGGCTCACAGAAAGGTGTCCAGAAACTAAGTTTCAAGGAATTTGAATTTTCCACTGTGGCCGGACTATGCTCGATATTTCTGGACAGTCGCTCTTAAAAACCATTGTTGCACGTGCCATTTGTTGCTGGCAATCTAGGGTTTTCCAGCCCAGAATTYTAAAAAGATTGTCAGCGCTGGCATCGTAGCTTGAATGGGTCAAGACACGGGCTGCTCTATTTTGTAGTTTCTGCAATTTATTATGTAGAGTAGTACCACAATTGCCCCAAACGACATTACAATAGTCAAAGTGCGGCTGGACTAGGGCGTGATAAATTTTTTGCAAAGTTAGTTGAGGAACAAGGTGTCTTACTCGCTTAATGGCCCCAATTCCTGAAGCAATTTTCTTGGTTAGTTTATCAATATGGTCACTCCAAGTTAAATTGCTATCAATGTATACTCCAAGTGATTTCGTACTTGTTACTTGGTCTATTGAAGAACCATTGATTTCAGGCTTGGGGAGATTTGTAAGAGTAGACAACCTTTGCCTTGAGCCTATCAACATGAATTCGGTTTTTGTCGTATTTAGAGTAAGTTTATTTGCTTTAAGCCAATTCGTAACGTTCTCCAAATCATGATTTAAACTTGATTGAATATCATCAGTATCAATGCCCGCGTATGTTAGATGCGTATCATCAGAAGAAGCAAGCTGCCTGACGTGTGGGATCATTTTGTGATATCATTATATCGTATCCTTACTAGTTTTTGTTTGTATCCGTCCTTTTTAAACAGTGCCAGTTGGCCGTTCAGCCTTCCGTCTTCGGGTTTTTTCGCTTTCCCTTATTTGGGCTTTCTGCCCATCCAGCCGTGAGCGAGTCCGCATCACGCACATGTTGTGGGAGGGCGTTCCAGGCACGTGGCGCAGCCACTGCAAATGATCTTTCGCCATATGTTTTCGTGCGAGATTTTGGTACCACAAGTATGTTTTTGCTGCCAGAACGAAGACATCTGGGGGGATTGTGCCTCCTTAGGAGGGCCGTAATGTATTGCGGAGCCTGATTGTTAGGTGCTTTGAAGGCGATCACTAAGGTCTGAAAGTGAATCCGAGAATTAACTGGCAACCAATGTAATCTAAACATAACTGGCGTAATATAGTCGAACTTACGAGAAYCTATAACAAGCCTGGCCGCAATGTTGTGGACTCTTTGCAGCTTATCAATCTCACAGGAAAAAATTCTGAAATCCCAATTTTCAAAAATGGTATTTTCCTGGGAAATATTCCCATCTTTGGGGAAAAATTGTAACACAATTTCCCACTTTTGGGAAATTTTTGATGTGGAAAAAAAGCGATTTCCAATAAAAACCCAGTAATGAAATTTCCATTGAGATACTTTCCCAATGTAATCCCAAATAAGGAAAAGAGTGGGAAATTACACCCAATATAAACCCACCAATGGGATTTTAAGTCAGAACATTTCCCAATGTAATCCCAAATAAGGAAAAGACTGGGAAATTACACCCAATATAAACCCACCAATGGGATTTTAAGGCAGAATATTTCCCAATGTTATCCCAAATAAGGAAGTTAATGCCTTTAGTTGATTTCCTACTTACAGTCAATGGGCATGTGTTTTTTTTCTAGATTTCAGTCATGATTTTTATTTGATTTAACAAAGTCTTGTTGTGTTCATGCTTTCTTAGAATCCTTGTCAATTCTTACAAAGTTGTTAAAATTATATTCTAAGACTTCATCATGTAATAATAATATTCATATATAATTACTGGAAGAGTTATACGTCAAACAAAGAAAGAAGTCAAAA